TTACAATCTGAGCACATAATCTTCGTTAAGAAAAATTAATCAGTCCTCGCTTTAATCTTTTCTTTATAGAGCTTGTCAATGTTTTTACAAATGAAATGAATTGATAGTTTTTATAATCAAATGGATCGTCTTAATATAATCTCATTTATAGTACTAAATGAATACTATTGTATTATTAAAAAGGCTATCATAATCATTATCAACATCTATTACAAAACAAAGTCGATTTTGCGAATATACTAAAATCTAAAGATTTATTCGTGTTGGTTGTAATTCGACATCGAGAAAAATGAATCAAGATAAACATTCTTTCTTTGTGAAGAAATTTGATAATTAGTAACAGTACAAGAAAGAATTTGAAAACTGGCGTATTAACTACTCAGAGAATAAAAAATGGTTACTTTGATGTGAAAAACACGAGCAAAAAGACATATCTGATAATGAAATAGATAATAATTTTGATATTTTTCATTTTTTTTCTTCTTGGGTATTGTCAACTGGCGAGAGTATTAAACATGCTTCAACAAAATACAATGAAAAATAAATGAAAGAATTCTTTGATCGTTTCTGACAGCAAAATTTAATAAATGTATGGTATCATAGTAACTCTGTTAGAAAACACAAAAGATGAATCCAGACGAAGTCAAGAATCGACTCAATAATGTTACGAATTTTATATTAAAAAACAACATAATACGGAGTTAAATAAAATTATTTAAAAAATAGGACATTTAGTTTATGTTTGTAAAAAAATATAAAATAATAACATGGTTATGCTTACCTGTGTGTAGATAGCCGTTACTTATGTAGACATATGTGCACATAAACGCTTCCTTTTTACCTGCATATTTGCTTGCCGATTTTTGTTTTTCTTTCATATCGATTCAATCTACCCAATCGTTTTTTTTCTTTATACTGGTTTTTATCTTTATATCAAATTATTTCTTATGTAGTGGGTATTTTATCTATACTAATTTTGAGTCATCTACATCTTTTTTTCTTTATATCACATTTTTTTATATTTTTATAATACCAGATTGAATTACACGAGAACTTTTTAAGAGATACCCAAATTAGAAAAGAGATAAAAAAATCGATTTGAATAGATTTTTACTTGTTAATTTATTAAGTGTACGTATTGTAAGATAAAGTTAAATCATCTTGAGAGGTGTATCTGGGTTTAAGTGGATCATAATACTGTCACATCCACACTAATAATCTTTTTGATTGATTAATGAGTTAAAATAATATTTCAAATTAATTTTATTTGAATTTCTAAAGGTATTTTTGAATTAATTAAATAAAACATTTCATATATTAGAGTTTTAATCAATTTTAAATATCAAATCATAAGTAATAAAACTTTTCAAGAAAATATTTTAAACATTGTAATAATTTAAAAGCAACATGAAATGAATTTCATTTTTTATTTTCTGTAAAATAAAAAAGTAAAGCCTCTGAATTATTATTAAGCATAAAATTCAGTTCAATCAATGAAATGATTTGAATAAAAGAAAGTTTATGAAATTTTATTATTAGAAAAAGTTCTTAACAAGAACTAAATTTGAATTCGATTTTATAAAAAACAAAGAATAATTTTCTAATCAAAAAATATTTTTTCAATTAATCTTCTGCATAGAGTTAATATTTATTTAGAATAAATTATTTTTTCTAACCAATCTATTTCTAAACTATAAAATATGTAAGTTCTATAGATAAATGTGAAAAATTTTATCATAAAACAAAATTAATCTAATTGATTTTAAAGTAATAGAAGTCATTCTGATGAATGTATGAAATATAAAAATAATATTTTACTTTTTTTCAAAAAGTATTAGAATGATGAATTCCATTAACAATTTTATAAAAATTTATTTGAATTAGAAAGGAAAACTTTCATTGCACAATTTTGTTATTATTCAGATAAAATAATTGCTGAAACAAGCATATTTCTATTCTTCAAAAGCATTGTTATTTTGAACTTATGTACATCGAAATACACATGCAAATATAAAAAAACAAGAAGATATAAATGATTTTGACATCATCATATGCAAGAGAATTATAATTGTCGTCATGTCATCATCTAACACCTATTTTCTCTCTCTCTCTAATATATGCTCAGAATATTTAGTTGATACTATTATCAATGGTGAAGCTAGAGATGATGACTCAGTCTCTCCTAGCACATTTTCAAAGGATTCTTAATTTATACTGGTTGAGCAAAATAATTATACTTGCTAGATGAATCAAAACGGATCTGATAACTCAGCCTCCTTAATTTAAAATTATGATTTCCCCACTGATTCTTATTAAGTTACAGGAAGTCGTAGTTCAAGAAGTCTCATAATTAAAAAACTCATTTTTTTAGAAATCAACTTCTTTGCTACTTTCTAAAAATATTATTGCACAACTCTCAAACTATGAATAAAAATATTCAACATTTTAACGACATATATGTAAAAAAATTATTCTTTTATCATTACATAGTAATTACTTTTCAACGAAAAGTATTTAATAAAATAAATCTTCATTTGAACTATAATTTTATTACTATTTTGCGTCAAAACTTATCTGAGTAACAAATAAGAATATCGCTTCCTTTCTTCTACTTTAATATATCTAACTGTTCTTTCTTTTTATTATTGACGATATACAAAATTAATTTTATATTTACAAACATAATATCAATTCCAGATCATTCATCGTTCGTAGATTATAAGGAGAGAAGCGAACTTAGAGTAATCGGGCGGTTCCTATCGGTCATGAGGCCAGACCGTTTGCTCGCAATAGTACAATATTCATAAATCTTTGTTGTACAAACCTTCTTTTTTATATGTTGAAATATTCTTCAGTTAACTTTCTCTACCAAACTCTGAAACAGATGTATCAATCGCGAAGTTAATATGAATAAAAATGTAAACGCTTGTCAGGAAATGCGTCAACTTATTGCGTATGAAATCTTTTTTTCATCTAAAGAAAATATTAGAATTTGCGTCAGCGACTAAAAGATAACTAGTATCCAAGCAGAAACAAACACATATGCTGATATTTTTCAATAAAAAATCAACGTCATAAAAAAAGTAATTACGAAGTATATAAAGGATGATGATTATATTCATTTTATTAGTAAAGTCATGTTTTCTCTGATATATTTATTTTATTTTATTCTTTTACATTCAAGCATTGCCTTGTCTAATCTGTATATGTATTATACAGATGAAATAAGTAACAATGGTATGAATGCATTACATTATCATTGTTTTAATTATCCTATGGTTAAAGAAGAGTCTATCACAACATTTTAATTAATTTCTTATTGTATAAATGAACTACCCGATTACTTGTGAGATCTATCGCGATAAAATCGCCAAAATGAAGGACTTTTTGCCGATTTTTTTTCGAAAAGTCTTGATTCGTAATGATTTCGACAAAATGAGCATTTCCCACTGGCGATATAATCGTCAATATTTTAGAAAATCGCAATTCATCGCCCAAACCTTGGCGATTTTGAAGACATGGGTCATTTTAAACAAATATTGAGGAAGTATTCTGAAAGTTCATGCCGAGCGCTACAGTTTTTGATTAAATAATAGTTTACAAAAGCCAAAACTAGATTTCAAAAAAAGCATTTTTTCATCGGTATATGTCGTGAAAAGCTGGATTTTTGGTACTGTTGCATCGATATCTCCTAAACTAAGACAGATAAAAACTTGATTTTTTCAAAAATGAATGGTGATATACAGACCAATAAAACAAAAAAAGATTTATTAAAATCGGTCGAGCAGAACCTCACTTATAAGCATTTTTGTTTCGAGGATACAACGGTACAATGGCTGCGATTATCACTCATATATATATATATATACTATCTCTTCTGTTAATAAGAGAAAACTTTTGAGGTTCAGAAACATATCAAGGAAGGGGTAACGATTGATACTTCTATAGAATGAATAATAAAAAGAAGCCAGACAACAGATGAAATTTGAATTTTTGCTCAATCTTTTCAAAGAACCTTTTTCAGTAAAAACACCATATATCAAATTGATGGGCGGTAAAGATTCATTCGTTGAAATAATACTCAAAATTTTCAAGTATAATATTCTAGAGAATACTGAAGCAAAAGAAGAAACTTCTCTTTTAGCTGTCGTGGTTGTCTGTGTCCCTCAAAATATAGACCAAAACTTTCATAGCCCAAAAACTACATCTTCTTCATGATATTCTCATTCCAAAATGGGCAATTTTTCTTCGTAAAAATATATTAATGTCATACTTCTGGTTCTGGGGTTTAACTTTTTAAACTTACTACTTCGTTCTTTGTTATTTTTTATACGATATAACCCCTCGACAACATGTTGAAGCAACGAGTTTTCTTTCATAATCAAATACAGGATAAAAAAATGCTGAAAGATTTCTGATCTTTTCAACAATACTCAGATTTTTCTAGTTTCTATACTGAAAAAAGTCACATAGCTAAATACAAATTCAATTAAATAAGAAACAGATGCAAATAGTTTCTCTCGAAAATTTTGGTGAAATATATTTCTATTTTTCAAAAACTATTACGCTAGTGCAAAAATGTGCATTACTAGTTCATGATAAGACAGTAGGACAAAATGAGAATTTTCTGTAACTTCAATGGGCTGTAAATAATAGAGAAGAGTTTTAAACAGCTCTGACATTATATAGTTAACCAACGACAGCTATCGATAACTCCTTATATTAGATACCCATTATATATAATCTTGACAAACGACTATTTTATGCGATTGGTTAAGTAAAATCACTATAAAGTTCTAAAGTATTTCTACTCAATCAGATAATATAATTATTAATATTTAGATATACATTTATTAAATAACTGACAAAAATTTAAAGTAATTTAATCTGTTTATATAGAAAAATCTAATTATAAAACTTAATATATACATTAAATGTATTCAGAATAGATTTATCTATTTGATAGGAATATTGTGGTTATTTTATAGAGTATATTAACTATGAATAGTTTATTTATCTTTCGTCGTGTATTATCAATGTCAGAAAAAAGATATAGAACATTATCAATCTCTTCATCATCATCATCGAGAGATATCTATCCAATAATGAAAAAACTTATTGATACAAAACAATATAAAAAGGCTATAGATATTTTTGATGAAAAATTTGACTTATGTAAAGACCTTGAAATAGATTTGGTATTGAAAGCTTGTCTTAACTTAAATGAGTATCAATGCGCTATTAATATTCAACAAAAACTTTCTCAAAATTCACTTAACAATCCTTATATACAAACATCACTTATTCAATTATATAGTGAGTGTTTTATTTTTCAATTAAACTGTTCACAATTCAATTGAATATTTAAATAATTTTACCATTATAATACAATTTCCTTATAGTTAATATTCTTCAAGTATTTCAGAATTGTTCAATATGAAGAGATTATTTTTTTCTAAAAGCTAAATTTTTTCAGAGTTTTTTATAACTGATTTTTATCGTTAGAAATAATATTAAAAATAATGAACAATTGTTAAAATTCTTAATTTAAACCAGCAAACTTTTATGAAGAAAATTTAATAATTTATTCAATAAAAATATTTCACATTAATCTTAACAAATAAATTATGATAAATAATTTTTCATTTATATTTTTATGTTTAGTACAACATCATGATATTAATAATGCTTATCGTCTATTTTTGAAAATAACCAATAAATCCATTTCTATCTATACGACTATGATTAAAGGTTATTTATTATGTCTGTCATTTGGTTATTCTTCATTAACTTATTTTTAGGTCTTATTTTAAATAATATGTTAGATAAAGTGCTTGATTTATTTGATGAAATTAAAATTCAACCTAATGAGATTATGCTCACTATGTTATTTGATGTTTGTGCTCGACTTGATAATGATCGTGCAAAACAAACTGGAAAAAAAATTCTTAATGAAATGTCAGAAAAGTTTCTGAACGATAGTATTCTACTTAATTCAGCAATAATTATGCTAATGAAATTTGGTGATGTTAAAAGTGCCGAAGATCTTTTTCATAAAATAAAGAATAAGAATATTATTAATTATGGTGCTATGATGAAAGGTAAATAATTAGAATAAATTTTGAATCCTAACAAAATTCGATTTAGGCTATACATTAAATAATATGTGTGACAAAGCATTGGATTTATTTGAACAAATAGAATCAAATCATAGTAATATTAGTTATACGATTATTTTCAATGCATGTGCTCAACTCTT